GTATTCCCTTATTGACTGGGTACGTCACCTCAGAATGGGATGCAGAGATTAAATTGCTCGACACCATTAATAACTGCTTCTTGGAGAAGCTAGTCCTGGAACCCACAAGGGGGGAAGCAATTCTTGATTTAGTCCCAAGTGAAGCAGAATCTGGTCCAAGAGGTGACTATAGCTGAATCGCTCAGTAATAACGACCATAATATAATTAAATTTAATATCCTTGGGGGGGGAGGAATGGGAGGAATACCAAAGAAACCCACCACCGTAGCATTTAACTTCAAAAAAGAGAACTGCACAAAAGTGAGGACGCTAGCTAAACAGAAATTAGAAGGAACTCTCACAAGAGTGAAATGCCTACAAGCTGCGTGGAGACATTTTATAAACACCATAGGACTAAATGTGCCCCCCAAATAATAATTTAAAAAAACAGTAAGAGGACCCAAAAAATGCCACCATGGCTAAACAATGATGGTGTGGAGAAATCATGACCAGTGTGGAGAAAGGTGAATTAAAAACAAAATGCCAACAGTGGGAAGATTTTGCACTGAAACTCAGATGGACAAAAATGTCAACAGTATCGTACGTCATGACCTAGCCTTTTCTCCCTGATCCATATAGAAGAAGAGAGAGTTTTACAGTGTGTATATACAATTCAAAGCAGTCAATGAAAGATAACTCACTTTTATTTTATTTTATTTTATTTTTTTAACCCTTTTATTATATTTATTATTTACAATACAGTTAATGCCATTTTTACATTGTCTCTTTTCAGTCAGTCCCCATACTTTAACAATAAAATACTTACATTTACTTTGCATGCATATAATACCAAAGCCTGCAGCCTGACTTACTCATTTTCTGATCTTTCCAGATCTCTTGAGCTAAGCAGGTTGAGGCCTGGTCTGTGGGTAAACCTCAAAGGGAAAGCAAGTGGTGCTGTTTCAGTAAGTGGTGCTTTTCTTTCAGAATCACTCCTGAATCCATGCTGCAGCATGGTTCTAGGAGGCACTGAACAGCTGGAGGTGCTGTCTTTCTGATGAGATGTATAACCTAAGCTCTGGATATGCATCGTAATTAAAAATCCCAGGGTGAGTTAAATGGGTGAGTTAATTTCAGTGTTCTATCTTAATTCCAGTTTAGGGTGATTCCAGTTTGCCTACCTCCAATTCTCCTTTTAATGTAAATTGGACATATTATTCTTCACTTCCATCCCCCAAGCTGTCATGGAATATTATTGGCTGCCATGGTCCACCATGCGAATGGTGGTTGGTGAATGATCTCTAGATACATACACAATGAGATTTTCCACAGTGCTCAGTGTTGGCCCAGCTCTGTTTCAATTGAAGGCATGGTGAACTGCCATTGACTTTAATGGGCACAGAATTAGATCAATGCTCAGCACTTTTGAAAATCCTAACCATGTGTCCTAAAATTAGTTGGCTGGACGGAAATGGCATGCTAGAGAAAGAGATGATGGAATACTACAACTCCGTATTGTTACATTTTAATGACCAAAGTGTGTCATGCAGACAAATTTATTCTCACAATTAAGGACTATTTCTGAGTCCCACCTAGTTTGTTTTTTTTACCACAATTTAGCACAATTTGCTGCTTTTGCTGTTGCTTTTGCAACAGATATTGTTTGAATACTCAGGTAGAACTGGAAGAGCAGAGAGATGGAGTTAAAAATGCTGCTTGTGTTTTAAACATTGTTGTGGTACAGATGTTTGGCAGGCAGTGTGAAAGCTTATTACGTTTCAAGACAGAGTGCCTTCTTTTACAAGCTTATCAACCTTTATTGCTCCAAAAACAGCAGCAGAAAGTAACATTTCCTTCTCTATATACAATGCATATCCTGCATCTTGGCAGGGGGTCAGACTAGATGACCCTGGCAGTTCCTTCTAACCCTATGATTCTAATGCATCACTAACTGAATCCATCCCAGAAACTCCTTTGGGATATCTCATTTATTCCCAACCTGTTACATGAACTGTGGAAATGGAAGCAACCTCTTCTTTGCTGCAGCAACGGTTTTATGACAACTTGAAGTTTTTTCTTGACCTCAGGTACTATTTTTAATCCACTTTTTGCTATGGCATTTAGATACAATCATTTTAAAACACGGAAACACCCATAAATCCTTGGGATCTCCTAAAGCAGATGAAAAGGTCGATTTGGAGTATGATACAGATCTGTTCTACTGTTCTGGCAGTGGGTCGGCACATGGCCCTAGTGAAGATTAATACAGAAAATGAGTAAAGAAAAAAAATCCAATTTATTAAAAGATTGGGAACCTTCATGTCTGTAGCTAAAGCAAGGACTGCTATCTCCAAAAAAAAAAAAAAGGCTATATGTAAGAAGTACTTTGCTAGCTAGTCTCTGTGTCCTGATCTCATTAATGGGAACAAAGGTGATAAAAGGAATGTTGTTAGTGCTGGTGACCTGGAGCCAAAATCCACAGCTCTGCCACTTCTCTGCTGGATAAATATGTGCTTTATCTATGTATCCATCTGTAAAGTGTGTAGGCTAACATAACTTATTTGAAAAGCATTTTGAAATTGTTGGACAACAGATGCTATGCAAATTATTACTGGAACCCAGAAATAATGCAGGGCAGAAAAGGAGAGAAAATGGCTATTAAATAGATACTCTATTAAAGTTACCAGTAATTAAGCTACCTCCCCCAAAGAGTGCTTTATGAATGCAGAAACTGCTCTAAGGGTCACAGATAGTGGAAAGCACCCTACTTTGGTTCTGACATGATAGAACAGCTCAATTAATTTCATGGTCACCAATATCTAACCTGCTCACGTACATCCTCAAAAAAGTGACTACAGGCCATTTTAGAAACTTACAAAGAGGGATCCAGACAAGTTTAAAGACAGACTAATATTTTTAAAGGATCCAAAGCCTGCAACACCTGTAGAAATTCAATTGTATATGGGCACCTAACTCCCATAAGCTCCACTGCAAATCCCAGACAGCACACCTGTAGGCAGTGTGCTACAAAAACTTTTATTGTAAGCGCTTCAGAGCAAGGATCTTGTCAACTTTTCAAATATTAATATTTATGGCAATGTAGAAATGAAATATGATTTGTCCAACCACAACCCAACCTTCCTGGATGGTTGGTGGGAAATGTTAGAATGTCAGAAAACAATGGGAGATACAAGAGGTAACTTGTCTAGCAGAGGTTATTTGCTCTAATACCCAGCAATCAAACAGCTTGTTCGTTCCAGGTGCATTTAAGTCTTCTTACAAATGTTAGCGTTGTAAATTAGAAAGACAAGAAGGGTGCGGTAATATTTTTTATTGGACCAAATTCTGTTGGTGAGAGAGCCAAGCTTTTGAGCCAGAGTTACAGCTCACCCACCTTTACTCTCTAGTATCGTGGAACCCACCTGGGCTACAACTGCACTACATACAATCACTGCAAATTTCAGACCAATGCTGCTAAAATGCTCTTTTCATAAATGCAGGATGATCAGAGACAGGCTTGCATTTAAAAAATAATTCCCCCCTCCTCAATCCAACGTCTAATTTGTTTCTTGGATTGACTCAGGCTGCTTCAGCATGCAGACAGCAAAAGGGGGGGGAAAAGGATTGCCACCTTAAAACATACTTCTAAAGCAGAGGTTCCCAAAGGGTGGGGCAAGTCCCCCCAAAGGAACACAGAGGAATGTTCTGGGGGGCATAGCACAGCCTGGGTCAGCTATGGCAGGAGCACCACCCAGCCCTGCTCCACTTTAGCCCCAGCACCTAGCCATGGCTCTACTCCTGGCCCTAGCTCTGCCCCCAGCTACAGCCCCTTTACCATGTGTACATCGCCAGTAGCCACAGCCCTGCTCCCAAGGGAGCAGACAGGGCAAGGGGGGCATGAACCTAAAAGTTTGTGGAGAGAGGCTGTCTAGCTTGTTGCACACATAGGGACTTTCTCTAAGGCTGAGGCAAAAACAATAATTTGAATTAATTCCAGATTTTAGGGGTCATGTGACTAGACAGTTAAACTGTTGGGTCAGATTCAGTCACAGATTTAATCTGCGGTTAAGAAATTAGTGTTTTCTTTCTTTGCCGTAATTGGTAGAGTAGGTAAAGGAAGGCATAACTATGGGTGTAGTTTGGTTATGTGTCAGTAAAATTGTTTTTTGTTCTTGGAAGAGTTTTTTGATTCCCCCCCGCACTTTGTTCTTACGTGCATTAGAGCTAAAACAGTATTGTATTGCAAGATTAATATATAATGAATTCCAGTCTTTAGTGCAAAATGAAAATGCATAGTAAATCCTATCCCTACTATTTAGCTCTGGAGTTAATGGTTTGGAAGGAACAGACAGCCCAGGCACCTGCTGGACTGGCTGTTGCAAAAATGAGTCCGTTCAGGTCCAGTCTACACTAGGAAAATTATGGAGCCAGCTATGTCACTCAGTGGTATGACCAACCCACACCCACAACTGGTATAGTTAAAATGACTTCAGTCCCTCTGTAGGCAGCATTGGGTCAACACCTTTGGTTGACCTACCTACAGCCTGTTGGGGAAGGTGGATTTACCACAGCACTGTGAGAACCCCTCCCCTGGCTACAGGGAGTGTCTATACTGAAGTGCTGCTACCATTTTAAGTGTAGACAGAGTCTTAGTTTAGTTCTTAATAGAAAGGTGATCACATTGCAAGCCACCATCATAAACTCGTATTTTTGATATACTGAAAAGGGCAACAGCTGGACTGGCAGGCTAAACACACACTAAAAGCAGTGGTCTAGTCATTTAATGAGGCAAGGTTAAAAACCTTGCTTTTACCTGCTTGGTCAATGTAGACAACTGGTAGCTATAGGACTTAATATGGCAACTTCCCCAAATGTATTTTATTTAAGACAAAAATAATTCAAATTTTACAATCTTAATTTACCCTTGAGTTATGTCAGATTACTAGCATTATTACAAGGACATCGAATCTGTGAGCTGTAGATGACAATACTGGAAGAAAAAGCAAAGTCTTTACACATGGTTTAACTAATTATATTTTGGGCAAATATTTATTTATCTAAAAACAAAATAAAAATCAATTTTTAAAAGAAAATGTATTTAAATAAAACGCACAAACCGGTGAAATGTTCTGGCACAGAAGTTCAAAACAAGTATAAACCCAGTTGCCACAACCGCTGAGTATCAATGTTGCAACATTTGTCTATAAAGACTTTATTAAAGGTATGGACATAGCAATAAGGTATGTAAATATATACAGCCATTTGAGGACAACTTTTTGGAATTGTCTTAAGAAAAATGACTTAAATACAAAATTTTCGAAGAACAAAATTGAAAAGTTCATCCCCAAACATGAAGAAAAGTCCCATCTGTCCTTATGCCCAAAGTATTAATTATGAGGCAGTTTTGAGGTTATGGCTAAACCTTTCCAAGATCCAGCCAAGGTTGTGTAGTCTCGAGTTATTTTGAACGGCATGCAATTGCAATGGTTCCATACTTTACGAACTGGCATAGTTCATGAGTAATATTAGAAATATTATTTTATTTCAGTCTGGATTAGATTATTCTAATCTATGCACAAGAGTTCCTTAGCTGCTCAAGTTTGTGTTTCAACTGTTCTCGCCGCTTCCTCAACTGTTCTTTCTCTGCAATCAGTCTGTGTTCATCTGTTTGAATAGAAAGAACATATTCTGTGGCTTTTTTAAGGATGACAACTTTGGGTGCCTTTTCATTGTTGGCTACCTCAGGTATTTGGTCACGCAAAGCAAAGAAACTCAACTTCAGCTCATTTCTCCTTTGGCGCTCCAAGACGTTGTGTGTTCGCCTCTTGTCGTTTTCTTCTGTGTCTGATGTGCGGGGACTTGAGCACTTTCGGTTATTACTGATTTGTTTGAGAACTCTACCATTGTCCAACTTTATCCTTTTTGCTGAAGGATACTCAAGTTTGGTGGAGGGAGGAGCAGCATAATTGTGCTGATGGATGGGGACATGACACCGCTTAAGAACTAGTGGGCTGTGGTGTGGCTTACTGTGCTCTTCTGTTGGTTGTGTGATTGATTCAGATTCACTTGTTGTCACAACATCAATTTCTTCCTCATCTTCCTCTGGTTCTTCCTCTGGAAGAAAAAACACCCCTATTGTAAGTCAACTTGTATGAACATTTAAAAAACAAACAGTTCGTAAGTGTTCCTTGCTGTATAATGGAGAACAAGGTGGCATTTTTAAAAAAACATTTTGTAATCTGCTTCTAAAATCTGCACTTCCCTGAAAAATGTTTTCTCTAAGAAATTCAACAGAAGTACTGTTAAAAGAACAGACTCCTCTTTTGTAATTCTTAACTCTGCATCCCAGACTGCCAAACCCTGCCTCCCAGATAGCAAGAGTTACGTAATTCTGAAGACAGCAGGGAAGTTGAATGCTGACAGCAGATGTTACAGCATAACCTCCCTCCCCCTGCAAAAATTAACCCCACCCCCCCAAATCATGGAAGCCATCCTTAAATATTTAGTGAGTCTTTGGCAAGACCCCAAAGCAAAGCTTACTTAACACTTGTATATTTTTAGGGGCACCTTCAGCAGCTCCCCCCCCCCCCCAATTATTCATGGGTAATCCAGGGGAGGGGAAAAAAAAAAAAAAACATAAACTTTGTCTGCAGACAAACTCAGTCCCTGACTATACATGGGTTTGTCTCTCAAACTTTGTTTGAAAGATACAGAAGCATGCCAACAAAGCTTTCCCAGACCCATTTACTTCTCTTCAACTACTCTCACTAGTACCTCCCATCCCATGAATGTCACCGGAGGGCAGATTCAATTGGATAAGATTCTAGCTTTGGGGAATGACTCTGAGCCTGTTATGAAAGTTAACACCTCCCTCCCTCTCCCCCCCCCCCCCAATGGGCTGGTTTCCCAGGAAATTTAATTCCCGCGGAGTCTCTCTCAGCGTGCCTTGCTAACGTGGCATTTAAAAAAGCACATGCAATAGGGGGACTGAAATCCTTAGGGTGGGAGGAGTTACACACACCAGTTTCAGCAGGAAACCAACTGTGTGTCCTGCCCAAGCCCTTCATGTTTTAAACCTTCCAAAGTATTCACCCTGAGCAAGTTACAAGGCAACCCAACAAAACCCAGGAGGGTTGTTATCTAGTACATATAGAGTGGTTACATTTTAAAGCAGTATACAAAGGGTACATCCAGGGGACAGGAGTGCACCCCAAAACGCACAGAGGGAGCAGCTATTGTTCAGCGCTTACCGTGGGCCCGGCAAACGTTGTTTGATAAGTTATCTGAACGGGAAGCTGGTGCTATAAAAGGCCTGGCAGGGGAAGTCCCTGGCGTCTTCCCTGGCAGGGCCAGTTACCTTCTTGTCTGACTCCCCAAGAGGCCAGGCTGTGCCCGGGCCGATCTCCCCATGGAAGCCCCCCTGTCTGGCTCGGCGGTGCGGAAGTCTGCCGAGAGAAGAAGGGTGCCTTGATACTCACCCGAGTCGCTGCTGGTGGTGGGCGGGGTGTCATCGCCCAGCAGGGAAGCCGGGCTGGAGCTAGGGGAGCCGGGCTTGGAGGATCTCTCACTGAGCGGGTAGGGGAAGACCACGGAGGGGTCTATGCAGTCGGCGGCGGCGGCGCCCAGGTCGTGCAGGTAGGTACTGGCGGAGGCCGGGGAGGGGGCCAGGCTGGGCGGCTGCGAGGGCGGCGGCGGCGGGCAGAGCCGGGAGCCGGAGCCCCCCTCCCTGCGGGCCGCCTGGTAGGAGGCCAGCTTCTCGGACACCACCTTCTCCAGCTTGGCGGCGGCGGAGAAGCCGCTCCACATGCAGTCCTGGATGATGATGGATTTCACGAAGGACTCGTCGTCCGGGTCGCAGATGAAGCTCTGGTTCACCATGTCTCCCCCCAGCAGCTCGGTCACCATCTCCAGCTGGTCGGCGGTGGAGGGGAAGTAGGCGGCGGCCAGGCTGGAGCGGCGGCTGGGCGAGAGGGGCGGCGTGGGCAGCAGCTCGAACTTCTTCCAGATGTCCTCGGAGGGGGCGGGCGGCTGGAGCTCGCTGCCCCGCTGCTGCGCCGCCAGGTAGAAGTTCTCCTCCTCGTCCTCGAAGTAGAAGTAGGGCTGCACCGAGTCGTAGTCGTAATCGTAGTTCTTGCTGGGGAGGGTCGAGGTCAGCGGCATCGCGGCGGCTGGTGCCTGAGGGCCAAGGGAGGGGGACACGGGTCAGGGCGCTGCGGGGTAACAACGGGGTGCACGGTGGGGGGGGGCACTGCAACACGGGGTGCACCTCCACCCCCCAAGGAGAACCCGAATAAACGGTGTGTAGCCCCCCCCCAACAAAGGGTGGAGAAGGGGTCACCCACCCCCCAATAAGGCGCAGGAGTGGGCTGCAGCCACCGGCCCTCCTCTCGATAGGTGACATACGGGGCACACAAGCAGCCCGCAGTTCGCTCCGGTGCAACACGGGGAAGCAAGAGACCCATCCGGCCGCACCCGCGGCGCGCCGGGCTGGACGCGCTGGACACCGGGCGCTGCGGCGCCTCCTGAGAGCCGGAACCACCTGAACTGAGCGCGGCCGCCGCCGCCGCGCGACCCCCTCCCCCGCCCGCCCGCCCGCCAGCGGTAGGGGCTCCCCGGGATTCTCTCCCCTGCCCCGCCGCCGCCCGCCTCCGGTTCCCTCTCGCTCCGCTCCTCTCCGCCCCTTCTCCTCCCCTCCCGGCCCCACGTCTTGGCCGGCTCCGCTCTGTCCCTTCCGCGGGAGCCGGCTCCTGGTCCGCCCCCCAGATCCTGTTCAGCCCAGCTGGAGCGCGGTGCAAGTGAGCAGCGCCCAGCCAGGGACCCCTCTGCCCAGCACCATCCCCACGTCCCCGGCAGGTCAAGAGCCGGAGCCAGCAACCGGGGAAAAGCGGAGCGAATCCTTCCAGCCTTAAGAGCGGCTTCCAGGACAGGCAGCTCCCCGGCTGGCCCCAGCCTCACTCCCGCGGGACTCCAGAGCAGGGGGGAACCAAGGCAAACTGGGCTGCCCAGCCCCCAGTCGTGACACTGGCTGGTTACAAAACCAGACCTCAGGGCACCTCTCTCCCCCGCCCGCGGCTGCCGGGAGGACGACGGGGGGGACGCTGAAAGGCCAGGGGAAAAGCCCGATTTAAAGACCCCGGTGCAATGGCTGAGGAAGGCAGAGCGCGCCTTACACACACAGAGGCTGCCCGTGCTGCAGCTCCGGGCTGCTGCTCCACACCTTGTGTCACTGCGTCTATACACACGCTTCCCAGCTGAACCACCCCTCCAGCTCAGCGCTTTGCCAAGGGGTCACCCAGCCTCACCCCCCGCCCCCGGAGGGTGCGAACACGGGGCCGCCCCCCGCTGGAGACCCCTACCCACAAAAGGTGCGAACACGTCTCTGCAAACTCACCGGTTCCTCCGATGCACCGGCTCGGAAATGCAGCGGGAGGGGACGGATTAAAGACGGTGCAAAAAAAAAAAAAAAAAAAGCGAAGGGGAAAAAACAGCCGCCGCCGCCACCAGTCCCGCAGTAATTATCCCACAAGAGCAGCGGGGAGAAGCGCCTTTCCCGGCGGCCGTCCGCCCCAGCCCCTCGCGCGCGGAATTGTAAGTCCCAAGGCAGCGCCGCCGGGTCCGGGGCAGGCTGAACTTCGCTCGCGCTCCTTTCAAGCGCCGGCCGGCCGGCGTGAGAGGGGAGGGGGCGCTTGACGGGGAGGCGGCGGCGGCACAGCGGCTGCTACCGCGCGAGCCCGTCTCCCTCCCTTTCGCCACTGCACAGAGCAGGCTGGCTCCCTGCACGGCGGCTTTTATAGAGGGCTCCGCCTTTTCCCGCCAAAGCGAAGAGGGTACGGACGAGCCGGCGGGCGGGGTGGGCTCGCGCGCGAGGGGGTGGGATTGACGCATTACGAGGACTATTTTCTTTCCCTCCGCAGCGTGTGTAAAGCGAAGAGGCGGGGCGGCGAGCCTTGCTAGCGGGGAAAGGGGCTTGGGGGGCAGGCTGCGTTTGAACAGGCGCTACTAGGAGCGAGAGAAACGGAAGTAAACATAGTAAAGAACACGAGAGATGAATTAACGTGGCCGCTGCGATCGCTCCTGCTCACCGGACATTGCCCCGACCTCCTTTCCACCCATGCACCAGAAAATACAACCCAGCCTCATGCAACACTGGGTGACCAGCTTTGCCGCCGCTGATCCTTGGGTTGCAGCGATGTTTACTGTTTTTTTTTTCTTCTCCATTTTGCAAGCCGGCGTCGGGCAACGCCTCCCCAGCTTTCATCCCAAGAGGCAGGAACCATTGATTGTTTAACAAAGCAGCGAAATGGCAAAGGCTGAAAATGTTTGGAAGGCGTCGCTCCCCAGGTGTGCACTGAGAGGAACGGTGCAGGGCAACTAGAAAAGGGGCTAGTGCAAAAAGCAAATAGGAAAACGTAAACGAGGGGAATAATTAAAATGTGATCAGAGCAGAAGGGGCGTTTATTGCCCCGGTATCTCTACCACGTCTCCCCAGGTTGTTGTCCCCTGCATGCATTTCCTAGCGCATGCAAAGAAGGGTTAAAAAGCAGGAGGTTACCGGCTTTGGCGGGGAGAGGTTAGTACTCGACGGACCAAATTCTACCAGAGGGGCAAGAGACAAAAACTCCCCCCAATAGCTGCTGCAATCTGGTCCCCGCCGCCGCCGCCTCTGCCTCTATGTCCTTTTTTATTTGAATTTATCTCCCCCTCTGGGAAAAAAAAATAGTGAGCCCTTAATAAACCAGCTGGATCCGCCCCAATGACAAACTCAGGTGCAAAGCTTTCCCAGTGGAGATTGCAAAGAGGGAAAGGGATCCAGGCTCAGCCTGCCCTTGTCCCAGCGGGCGGCTCCGCCAGGTACATCCCCCAGGTGAAGGGAAGGAGGGGAAACCGTTAACTCTTTCCTTTCTGTACCACGCAAAAATCCCCGCCTGCTCTCGGCTCCTTTATTCTTTGCTACTGATGCGCTAACTGCCCAGCTATTCCCAACACCTGGGATTTCCAACATGCCATTTATTTCACACTTGCCACCCCCACTCCTCCCTGTTTCCCAGGTGCACCTAGTTGTCTCCTAGTTAAGCTTTTTCTCTCCTGTTTTGTCTCTTACGTATTAACCTTGCTGGCATGAGATCCTTTTGAAGCCAACCAGGGAGAGACAAACCAAACACTTAAGAGTGATTTGCACCACTTTAAAATGCAGCTGGCTTCAAAGGGTCAGCCGAGCCGGGTCCTTTCCCTGCTGCTCAGATTAAGCTGCTTCCCCTGCGTCTTAACAAACTTTACCTCCCATGCACCCACAAACCAACCTCGAGGAAGCAATTAGGGAGGAAAGTGCTGTCCTACCTACTGGTTAAAATGCAGTTGTCGTGACGTGTAACTGCTACACTTATAGCTTGCAAAAAAAAAAAAAAAATCAGAGGCCTCTGGTTCGCTGCAGGAAATGCAAATTTTTAGCCAGGGACTCAGTGCTGCATCACTACTGGCTTTGGCTGCAAAAAGGATTCTCACGCCTGCTCGCTGCGCCCTCCGCACTGGTAGCGAAAGTAAAGTACTGTATCGTAAAGTAAGTGCGCCCTCTACTGGCTCAAAGATTACCAGGAGAGCTAATTATAAAAAGGGAGAGGCAGGCTGTGGAGAATGTGTGAATCACGCATTTGGGTGCAGATTTGATGATGAGAATAGAGGCTCCTTCACTGCTCTGTCTCTTTGTAACTCCAGACCACAAGGGAGGGAGGGACGGACCACTGGAGGCTTCTCAAAGCAGGATGGGGATCTACTCTGAGTCAGATACCTTTTGATCTTTACCTAGTGTTTGATACTTTTTTTCCATTGTAGTTTTGTCTTCACACATTCAGGTATCTCAGCCACGACTATTTCTTTTCTCCTTCAAACTAGCTCCTACTATCTATTCAGTTAATGCATATCCAATATACAAACACCTGTGTGTACACACGATCCTATACCATATCCTTAGAAGACCATCTATGTCCCAAGAGAAACTTTGGACAACATTCTCTTAGAGACACTTCTGTTTCTATAGCCTATTAATAGATGGGACTGATGTATGGAGAAAGATTAAAACCGCTAGATATGTGTGGCTTGGCTAAACAACCACCAAGAGTAGTAAATCTTTGTAATCGTAACTATTTATCACTATTAGAAAGTGAAACACCAAGGGTGAAATCATGGCCCCATTGAAGTCAATGGACGTTTTGCCATATAGACTTCAATGGGCCCAGGATTTCACCCCAAGAAGGGAAACTAATTGTTTATGGTGATAGGAAAGGTTTATATAACTAGGATGAAAAGTGAAAAAGAAAACATAGGCTGAATGTCAGGAAAACCTCAGGATCTAATAGATTATGGAATAGCCTGCCAAAGGAAGTGGTGGAATACCCATTGTTCTTGACTCTCTAGAGTGGGCAAAGGGCTTCAGGAACTAGAGTCAGTTCCTGCAGTGAGCAGATGATAAACTGATTTAAGAGCATTTCTACACTGTTTTAAGAGTGTCTTAAATCATCTTAGTTTAAGACAGTTTGTACTCAGTTTAGACTTGTCTACACAAAAACGTTGTACTGCTTTAACTCTACCAGGAGAAAGAAAAGGAGTACTAGTGGCACCTTAGAGACTAACCGATTTATTTGAGCATAAGCTTTCGTGAGCTACAGCTCACTTCAACGCATCCGATGAAATCAGCTGTAGCTCACGAAAGCTCATGCTCAAATAAATCAGTTAGTCTCTAAGGTGCCACTAGTACTCTTTTTCTTTTTGCGAATACAGACTAACACGGCTGCTACTCTGAAATCTACCAGGAGAGTTAAACAGTACCATTCCCTAGTGGAAATGCAGTTATATCAGTATAAAGGTGCCTTATTCTGGTCTAGTTTTTGCTGTATTGGAAGAAGAGCTTTTCAGTAAGATTTTAAGAGTAGACCAGCCCTTAAGATAAATCAGTTTGAGTGTCTTAAATCAATGTAACTGTCCACAGGGGGATAGGGTGGGTGGGTTTGAACCAAGTTAGACTCAAGCTACAATCACTAGGGATGTAATTTTTTTTTTTTTTTTACTAATATAGGCAAACCAGTACAACCCCTAGTGTGGACGTAGTTATACTGGTATAGTTCAAGAGGTACAACTTTTGTGTTCAGCCAAGGCTTTATAGGCACAAGCGAAGTTACAATCAGTTTTAAATTAATAAGAGTGTCTACACTGGTTTGCACAAATTCAGTCCAATTAGATTAAAAACACATACCCCTTTGGTTAAAACAAAGTAAATTCTGTGCATAGACCAGCTTTTACACGTTAGTCTCCATCCACATCAGCATGGCAACACTGGGCAAGCCCTCATGTAGATGGGTCATTTACTGCCGGACATTTTAAGGGCCATGTCATCTCTCTCTGCTCAGAATAAGCCTAAAATATATAGTTTCTTAAAACTCAAAAACAACAAAACCTCCTCCCAAACAAAAGAAATACAAAACACCCCATCTATGCTAGAGCTCCCAGTGGCGTAGAACCAGTGTTGGCAACTTTGGGAAATTTTTAGAAAGAGTTGAGAGTCATAAGTCTATGATGTGACATCATCAAATGCAGAGCAACTAATGGCAGTATCACAGGTGTTTATGACTTGAAGTGAGCAGTAAGAGAAGATGAGCAGATGGACCTCTACCTAGCAAACGCCCTATTTTCCCATGTTTCAGAGTAGCAGCTGTGTTCGTCTGTATTCGCAAAAAGAAAAGGAGTACTTTTGGCACCTTAGAGACTAACCAATTTATTTGAGCATAAGCTTTCGTGAGCTACAGCTCACTTCCCATGAGTCAAAAAACAAGGGAGGAGAAAGAAATATAATACTGAAGCAATACGGTCTCTAAATAAAATGTTTTCCAAAGTGCTTTATGGGTGACTGCATGTCTCCTACAGATAATAGATGTGACTCTGGTAGCCAGCAAAAGTGAAACCAGTGCAGCCATAACATGACAACTTCAGCATAGATATAGCAGGATACTTGGCTGCTATATCCTACATCCTTCCAGGTTGTGAATGACCTGGGGCAAGATAATGGAGAGATAAATATAAATCTCCAGTAGAAAGACTTTTGACAGAATAGCCGTTAGATTGGAAGAATAAACACACAAGTATATTGTTACGGAGGTGATGCCTTTTCCCTGGAGAGCTTAATGTCAAATAAGAGATGGGAGGAGGACAGAGCCACTGACCTGCATGGAATTTACACAGATGAGCAGGGATAGTTGAAACCTGTGGAAAAAAAATGAGGAAAAGGTAAAGCTTGTGAGAAAAGCTACCTACCATCTCTGCGTGCGTGAGTAAACCTGTAAACTATTTTGCCTTGTTCTATGTACCTTACTTAAACACTGCATACAAATATATTTTCTAGGAACCCCTGCTTAATTGGTTTGCTGCTAATGTACTGTATGTAACTGGAGCCAACACAAATTTGCACCAACTGCAGACAAATTCTGAGAAGATTTTCACCTCAACTCCATGCAATTGTGAAGGTCACTAATCTTCTATCCGGTGGGAAATTTTAAAAGCGCCCCCTAAATGTTTTTCTCTCCGAAAACCTGGATTTGTGCTGGAAATGGCCCACCTGATGATCACTTTAGATAAGCTATTACCAGCAGGACAGTGGGGTGGGAGGAGGTATTGTTTCATATTCTCTGTGTATATATAAAGTCTGCTGCAGTTTCCACGGTATGCATCCGATGAAGTGAGCTGTAGCTCACGAAAGCTCATGCTCAAATAAATTGGTTAGTCTCTAAGGTGCCA